TTGGGTGTGCTCTTGAGAAATTGGGATTTTGTTTTTGGCCTATGGTTTCGGATTTGGGGATTTGGGTAGGGAAATTGAGTTTTGATTGTATGGGGTGATGAGGGTAAGATTTTTATGGGTTTAATTTGGGATTTTGGCGGGGGTGGAGGTGTTTTGGAAGAGGGAAATTCTTGGCTAAGAGGTTTGGGAAAGTGTAGTTTGAAAGTTAGGGAAGATGGAGTGTTGTGTTCAAACGGGATGAAGAATAAATTGGGATTAAAATCCCGTATACCCGATCGTTCAAAAATTCATTTTCTTTTGTTTTTTTTAAAAAATATAAAATGGTGCTCTCTCTCACGGCACGACATTTTTTTTTAATTTAAGTGGGATCATCCCTTTTTTATTCTCAAAGGTATTCTTTGGCCATGTTTCAATTTTATTTTCGGCCTTTTCTAGTAAGGCTGAGGTTTTTTTTGTTGTTACCACCTCAACCGCGAGCGGTTTAAATTCACTTTTAGCAAATTTCAGCAATTTCCCCTTACCCCAAGATGATTCCTTATGCTTAATTTTTTCTTCTTTTTCAAAAATTGAGATTTGTCCGCGGCCGCCTCGTCCGCGAGCACCTCGAGGTCTGCCCCCTCGGTTGCCGCGCCCGCCTTGACCTCGTGGTGGTACTGCACCATAGCCGCGGGGAGCATGGCCTCGGCCCTGAGGTGCTGGAACGGCTGCAAATGTCTGGTGTACCGTGGACGGATCCTGAGACTGAATGGTAGTGTTGCGATTTTCCCGAGCTTGAAGAATTGGTCGTAGAGACTCCAGTGTGGCATTCCCAGGAAGATATGATATGTTGTTTATTATAAATATAAGGCCACGGCACCCAAGATAGAATATTCCATCAAATCACGATTACTAACAGGAAAATTAATCATAGCAAGTGCATTAGCAATGAGCTTAATTTCCAACAAATATTGATCAATGGTCTGTGATTCTTTCTTTTTAATATGGGACAAAGATCGCTTAAGTTCAACAGACCGTGCAAAGCAAGCAGACATAAAACGCGTTTCAAGTCGCTCCCATATAAGGTGAGAAAATTTCAAATCATATACCTCCATCAAAATATCCCTAGCAAGAGTAGCAAAAATCCAAGACCGAACCGTTTGGTCTGTTTTCAACCAGTGGGGGTAGTCCGGATCCGTGGCCAGTGGGACCCGAATTGAGCCATCCAATATCCCAAGAAAACTGTGGGATACCAAGAAGGACTCAAATTGGGTCCGCCATGGTAAATAATCCTCAACGGCCGATAATCGGGTGATAACAATATTAGTCACATTTGGCGTTGAGAAAGCCAATTGTGATGACAAAGCAGATAAAGAACCTACAATTGGTGGAGCACCTGAGCCAGCTGGAAGGACTGGGACCTGCGGATGATGCTGCGTGGGGCTCGGCTGGGCTGTTAAAGTTGGTCCACCAAAAGACATAGATGGAAGGCTGACCGCAGGGGCCGACGTCATGTGTGGTGGTGGCTGGAGGCTTATTGTAGGCGTCCATGTAAAAGGAGGCGGCATATTGAAGAGTCTGTAGGAATCCAGAGATGGAAGATCGTTCAATCGTTGCCGGAGATTCGCTGCAAGCGGAGACCAGTCGGCCTGCGCAGCGTGAGCCATGGATGGAGGGAGCGGGCTCGAAGGAACGACAATGCTGGACCCACTCTCGAACGAAGAGGACGAAGGCAGCAGTAACGAAGGCGCCTGGGAAGAAGGCAGCGCTGTGGTTTGCGCCTGAGAAGCCATGAAACCGGTGGATTGAGTCTACACTATAGGAGACGACGAGTTTGTGGAGGCGGCAATAGTGTCTGCGCCGATCATAGTAGGGAGAGAAGGAAAAAAAACCTAGGCGACTGATACCATATACGAAATTATGATTTTGGAAAAAATAATGGCTTACCCTCTTGGGTGCCTTGGCCTTATATTTATAATAAAACAGAGTTATGAAGAATTACAGAGTAAACCCTAAATATTACATTATTACTTTTCTCTCTAGATTAATAGTCTATCGATTAGTTTAATGGAAAAAGTTTTTTCTAAATGCAACTTCTAACATAATATTATGATTGGTTGTTCACTTGCTCTCAAATCTTAATCCTCAAATTCTCAATTTTCAAATCACTGGATTTTGGATTTTGCCTTTTCCTCTCTGGACGATTGAACGGTTGAACCTCTCAAAGGATTCAACGGGCAGAGTAATAGAGTTTCGAAAGTTATTATTGAGTTTTCTCTCTAAGGTTTCGACTATGTCGGCCGCTAGAGTCTTTTTTCCGATTTCGACTTTGTTGAAGATTGACTTTGTATTCCCTTGGTCGCTGGTGCTCGACTGGAGTCCAGGTCAGACGCGGAGGGCAGAGATCGGTGGAGAAGGGCGTATTTGCTGCCATGGCTTGAGGAGATCGGTATTGTGATCAAGGTTCGAGGAAGCGGCGTGGCTGTCGTCGTTGGTGAAGATCGGCGCCGCCTATCCGTTTAGTCTGGTCGCACGGAGCAGGGATGTGTTTGGTTATGCAGGGACGGAGGATTGATGCTTGGTCTTTGGCAGCCAAAGGTCATGGAGGATCAATTAGCATGGTACCGGTGGTACGACCTCCTCCTGAACCACCACCATGGGATGTACGAGGTGCTAGAGTTTGTGAAAGTTTTTCTTGTAGTTTTTATTTGTTTGTTATTTGTTTTCTTGTGTCCACTTTTGTTGTTGGTTTTGTCAGTTTGTTTAAGTTTTTTGCCTCTCTTTATGTCATTGGGTATGGTTGGATCTATGGGAACACATTTGGCTGTGTCAAGCCCACTACATGGTTAGCGATTCGTGTTTCTCTCTCAGGGGTGACCGTCTCAAAGTCTCGCCATAGGGTTACAGGCATAGTTGTTGGAGTTTCAGTTGGTGTCAATTTTATTTTCCCTTTGCTTGATGTAATGATCCTGAATCTTTTGATATGAATAGAGACCTGTTTTGATGATAAAAAAATTCAATTACATGGCAACCACTACCGTTTACTCTTCCGACTAACTTTCACAAGTAGCTAGGAATGCTAAGAATCGCTTTTTGCTCTTCATGAAAAATATCTGCCGAAGCTAGTGTCGATGTCCCAACTTCTTCCATCCATGCTCATAATCGAATACTTGCGATGTACTAGTGACCGGTCCCTCCCTCTTCACGGCCCCGCGCTTCTCTCTAGGGTTTCGACTATGTCGGCCGCTGGAGTCTTTTTTCCGATTTCGACTTTGTTGAAGATTGACTTTGTATTCCCTTGGTCGCTGGTGCAGTGGTGCTCGGCTGGAGTCCAGGTCAGAAGCGGAGGGCGGAGATCGGTGGAGAAGGGGGATTTGCTGTCATTGCTCGAGGAGATCGGTGTTGTGATCAAGGTTCGAAGAAGCGGCGTGGCTGTCGTCGTTGGTGAAGATCAGCGCCGCCTATCCGTTTAGTCTGGTCGCACGGAGCAGGGATGCATTTGGTTATGCAGGGACGGAGGATTAATGCTTGGTCTTTGGCAGCCAAGGGTCATGGAGGATCAATTAGCATGGTACCGGTGGTACAACCTCCTCCTGAATCACCTCCATGGGATGTACGAGGTGCTAGAGTTTGTGAAAGTTTTTCTTGTAGTTTTTATTTGTTTGTTATTTGTTTTCTTGTGTCCACTTTTGTTGTTGGTTTTGTCAGTTTGTTTAAGTTTTTTGCCTCTCTTTATGTCATTGGGTATGGTTGGATCTATGGGAACAGATTTGGCTGTGTCAAGCCCACTACATGGTTAGCGATTCGTGTTGCTCTCTCAGGGGTGACCGTCTCAAATTCTCACCATAGGGTTACAGTCATAGTTGTTGGAGTTTCAGTTGGTGTCAGTTTTATTTTCCCTTTGCTTGATGTAATGATCCTGAATCTTTTGATATGAATAGAGGCCTGTTTTGATGATAAAAAAAATTCAATTACATGGCAACCACTACCGTTTACTCTTCCGACTAACTTTCACAAGTAGCTAGGAATGCTAAGAATCGCCTTTTGCTCTTCATGAAAAATATCTGCCGAAGCTAGTGTCGATGTCCCAACTTCTTCCATTCATGCTCATAATCGAATACTTGCGATGTACTGTGACCGGTCCCTCCCTCCTCACGGCCCCGCCATATTTGGGTGCCACACTTGCACTACCGGAACTGCTTTCACTATGCTGCCCCAAATAACTGAGAGTTGCTGCGCCCCACCCCCACCTCTAAGACTCTCTTATGTGGCAAATAGAATGCCTTTATATTATTTTACTCACCTCTGCCACAAATATTACTATAATATAGTATGATACAAATTTATTGTGAGGGATGCAAAAAGAAAAATGAGACAATCATATGGGAATAGAGGTAGTATATGCAGGGGAGAGCCAGGATCTAGTGTGAATTTATGAAAGATTATGCATATACACATAATTTTTATTTTTCAATGGTGTCAATTTAAATTTTTATAAAAAAATTATATACATATATATGGAGAAAAAAATTTCAATGGTATCAATTGTCACCACACTTCCAAGGGTGGCTCCACCACTGAGTATATGTATTTACCACTTATTCACTTTTCATACATTTGAAGTTTCTAAATTTGTATTGAAACTTGGAAAAAGGGTCAGATAAGCTATTTTACTAATCCTAATCCGTCATTTAAGTCCTTTGTTCATACTGAAAAAGGTATCATAATTTTGTTTTTCACTTTAATTTTTCAGTTTTCTGTTTTTTTTTAGTTTTTAAATATTTTTGTATCTAATTTTACATTTACACTATTTTTTGTATTATTATTACATTATTTATTCAAATTTATATGAGTTTTTATAAGATTTATCAATATTTCTAATTTAATTTAAAAATAAAAAAGAACCTACTATAGCCGGTCAAAATGTCAAATGGCTTGATTGATTGTATTTTAGAAGTAAGCGTATTTATAAGATACTTTTTTAGTAAAGTGACTTAAGTGACAGATAGAAAATAGTAGAAGGGCTCATTTGACCATTTTTCTCGAAACTTTGATGTACTAAAAATTTGATGAAATTTTTACTAAATTATGTTATGTAGTTACATTAATGGAAAAATTGCTTGAATCAACATATCTTAATTACATGAGTTTTGATGCACGTGATGCTTTTTTCTTTTCTTTTTTTGCTTTGAGGAAACAAAACCATGAAGAAAAAAGTATACATCTCTTATACTCCGTATGATATTTCCTGTAGTTAAACCAAATGCTATTTCCTTTATCTGGCTCCTTTCAACTATGAAGATCTTGAAACTGCTGCAATTCGTCAAACCCCACCAAAAAAGAAAGAGTAATTAATCATCAGGATCCATTTCCTCATCTTGTTCCAATGATGGGATAACATCAGTTCCACTATCCTCAGAGTCCAACTGTCCCTCCGTCTCCGTTTCATCTTCCCGGGAGTCACCCTCATCAGGATCACTCTCCTCAGCCTTTACAGCTTCCTCTATCTCCGAGGGGCACCTTGTTTGTGCTTCGTATAATAAACGAAGTATACTTTTGCCTTTCTCAGAATTCAAAATCTGAGTAGACTTTGCAGTAGAGCAAGAACATTCTGGGATAGGGTGAGAAAGGAAGAGTTTTGGTTTAGATAGATAACCCTTCTTTATGAGGCCCTCTTCCGTGGTGCTTCTGTTTAGATGGTCTCTTACAGAGAGAGTCCAATTGCGTGGTGGATAGTACAGACGTTCAACGGTTGTGTTGAAGAGCTCTGCAAGATATTTCCTGCTTGGCCAATTATAACCACGAAGAAAGTAAATTTACTTATCAGGAACCCGAATAATGTTAACTCATCACACATACAACTACAGGTTACAAACATTGTTACACTAGATATGCAAACAGGTAAGACCAGCCCTGTGAAACTTAGGGTACCCAGTTGCTCTGTATATTTACCCATTTCAATTTTTTAACGTGCTCCACTGCTCGTGAAGCCTGACCACATTAAAATGTCTGACCATATTAAAATACTACAGTGTAATCACTGTTGGTATTATCTAACAACCACACACACATATATATAAATATAAATGGTTGTTAGAAACTCTCCCATACATGAGGAAGCGGTCCAGTATACAAATGGTTGTTAGAAACTCCCATATATGAGGAAGCTTTCCACTCACAGGCCGCTGACCCAATTTTTTATAAGGGAAGTCCGTTCGAAACTCCATTAAAGCAATTGCAGCCCTCTATATTCGAATCCTCCCTCTATATTCGAATCCTAGATCTGAGATCGGTTCTGGTAAAAATGTGATAGAACCGTATTAAAAATTGTAGTTCTTAAATTTGGTTCAGTTATAGTAAAAATGTACTCCGTAGTTGTTAAATTTGATTCGGTTCTAGTTAAATTCGGTTCGATTTTACAAAAATCCGGTTCGGTTCAGTTTGGTTATTGTTAAATGTCTCACACTGGAAAAGTTTGGATGAACAAAGTGTTATATTAACACATGGGCTACTCCACCTATCAGGTTGACCTTTTAGGATGGAACCCCAGATCTTATAAAAAAAGATGACACGATATAAAAATGGCTGGATGAAAAAAATGGACGGATGAAAAAAAAAATGATGGCACGATTCGTCTGGTCATGAGGAGGGGTGTTAAATGTTCCACACCGGAAAAGTTTGGATGAACAAAGTGCTATATTAACACATGGGCTACTCCTCCTATCAGATTGACCTTTTAGGATGGAGGTCTTAACATGGTATCAAAGCCAATTCCGTTTGTGTCTTGACGGCTTGTTTAGCACCCATGACTAAGGGTAGCTTGTTAAGGGTTTGTTTGGCCCGTTTATACACCCCGATATTGTCCAGCCCGGTTCGGGCTGAGGGGGCGTGTTAAAGCAATTTGTCTCACACCGGAAAGCTATAAAACAATTAAATACTATATAAGGCTTTGGGTTATTCCTCCTATCAGGTTGACCTTTTAGGATGGAACCCCAGGTCTTAACATGGTATCGGAGCCAAATCGATACATGGTATGAGGCCCCTTATGAAAAATGATGACACGATTATAAAAACGTCCGGATAAAAAAAGAATGATGGCACGATCCAGACGAAGTGTCTGGTCGTGAGGAGGGGTGTTAAATGTCCCACACCGGAAAAATTTGGATGAACAAAATACTATATTAATACATGGGCTACTCCTCCTATCAGGTTGACCTTTTAGGATGGAACCCCGTGTTTAACAGTTCTTGTTAAATTAAGTTCGGTTATTACTTTTCTTCGGTTCCTTAAAAAACATTATTATCCTTCTAAAATAAACACATTTTACTTTCAAATTTCAATTACATAAAAATATTCAAATTATGAAAAGGAAAAAGGGTCAAATAGACTCTTCTACTATTTCGGAACCAATCACTTAAGCCCCTCTACTATAAAAAGCATCACATGAACCCATCTACTCTAAAAAAAGAATCAATTAAGCCAAATTACCTGAAGCTAACCTGTTATAGCAGGTCACTTTTTCTCTCTCATATATATTTTTGTTTTTCATTTCTTTTTTTATTGCCATATTTAATAATCCGTACTAGCACATTAGCAGGCCACCCAATATACCAGATTGCCAGCGACCCCAACCTGGCTTCTCCCAAATTTTCATAAAAAAAGCCCCGTTTGAAACAAAATTATATATGACATATTGGTCTCATATGAAAGGTAATAAAAATTATTTAATTTGATATAATTTTTGTTAAAATCAGATTATAATTTAAGAAGTTATATCATTTTTAAAAAACACTTTATATGATTTGACATTTAATTTTATCTCTTCATAATGTTACGTAAGTGATAAACTCCTTCTTTTGAGCTTTTTAGCCTTTAGCTATACCACGCATCATCAAATTACCATGCCAAATGTTTACGTGTGTGATACGGTGTACGGTTTATCGGTTTTATTCTGCACCTTCCAAATGATGAACGTCTGTTTCACGAGATCAAGAGCTAGAATTTGTTCTCATTTCTCACAATAAGAGTTGTTCTCATTAGAACTCATCCCTATATTTTTTTGACAACCAAAACAGAACCCATCCATATATATATATATATATATATATATATATATATATATATATATATATATATAAGTAGCGTTCCTGTCAGGCTGTCCGGTCGAGGGAATTTGGGGCCCTTCCCGGTGGAATTTTTTAATGATTTCTTTTCATGTTTATCATCAAGTCTAGTTTATGCATATATATTCTATGCTGAGATGGTTTCTCTGTTCATTGTATTGTAGACTTTTAGTTGACTTACAAATCCTTCCTACAGCATGTACTATGCATTATATGTAGACAAGGCCTTGCATGTATAATCATCACAAGGTCCTGCATGTATAGTCAACACAATAATACACAGAAGTATCGTTCTTATCTTCTATACTTTGCTGTAACACAAACTAACTCAAACAAGGCACTCCTTTTAGGATGTTTTTAATTGGATTGATTCAGTCCGAGACTATTTAAGATCAAACCAGATCAGAGACCATACTAGGCTTAGATAAAAGTAAAATACACATAAAACAAGCATCAACCAAACCAGAAAATTTTAATCCAATTAAAAACATCCTTAGAACGGATGTAGTAATTAATTGCCTAAAATAAGTTATAAACACAAGATCATTATTGTGTCAACGTTAGGCAAAATGCATTAATTATGCCAAAAGTTCATATATATAGTCCAGTAAAATACAGCATTTTGAAGTACTAATTACCTGTCAGGACGGAATGTTCTAGAAGATGCCTTGTTATAGAGCCGATTCCCCATTATTAAGCTGGAAAAATCAGGCCATTCACTACCATCATTGTCAAAACCTGGAAAGAATGCATCTGCCTCAACCGAAACAATGTAATCAAGGGCATCCCATAGTAAGCGGTGAGCTTGTTCTCTTAAATCCCGAGGTGAGGGATCCGGCTCTGAATCCTTCTCAGCAATCCAACCGTACCACCCTTCCTTTTCATGGCGGTATATAGGTCGGTTGGGAGGAGGAGGAAGGGGCCTTGGTCGGGGCCCACCCTTGTCCCATTCATCTTTGAGTTGCTTCTCACTTTTCACGGGTAGGAGTTGGATGGGATCCAGAGGAAGTGAGGTTTCTGGTCCAATTAAACTTGCGAGCTCTGATATGCTGCACAATGAAGTCCGGTCCACTAAGTTCGTGTACATGGCTCTTAATGGAATTAAAATCCTTTGGCCGCCAAATGACTCAGAACCTGCCATGTATATTCTTGTTCTTGGCGGGTAGCCTAAAGCTCGAAGAAGTAGTCCCACCTAAAGGTTATGGAGTGGCAAACCATGAGCCAAGTGCTTAAAAAAGAGGAGAAACTGCATAATGAACAGTTATTTTGGATCACAAAATAGATAAAACAAACACCAAAAGTATTTAACAGTGCAATTTACTTCGCCAAAATATTTTTCATTCCATTAACATTTTAAATTTCCATCCTCCAAGAGTCCTGCAAGGTGATTGACTTTTGAAATAATCAAATATCAAATCGCCCTTCGATAGAAAAACTACAAGTCTGTAATGCATTCCGTTTTCTCCAATTATTCCTAGCATCCTTCATTCTCAATCTGAAAATAAAGAACTAATATTCTTTTTTGTACTTGTGGGTCAACGACCCCCTCCCCACCACCACCAAAACTATCCAAGAATAGTCCAATTCTGGGACATCTTATGTCCTGTTCTAGTAGTTGGGGAATGGGGGACCACTTGTCCTCTCCCATAAGGACTAAAACTAAAATTTCACATTATTAAGACACAAAAGATATCTCAAAAAGAGATGATTGATGAAACAAAAGTTTAATTTATGACATGTCTAAGCACACTGCACAGGAACACATTAGACTGTCATTGAGTTATTGTCCCAATATAAGTAGTAAATAGCTATAATAAGTAATAAATTGATTTCATGTGAATATTTCTTTATCTAAAAAGCCAAATCCCAATTTAGAATGACATAGGAGTAGTTATAAAGCAACAACATTTTTAAAGATGCGACTTTCAACTTGAGAATGCAGAATCATACCTTTACAGGTTTCGGAATTTAGTCTTATAAACTGTTATGGTGCCTTAGAGATGCATAGTTTTATGGAGGTATATGAGTTTATATTGACTTTTACAGATTTCTTTAACTTTGTAGACTTATAACAAGTATATAAAGATCTAGTGTCACAGATAATTACAGAAAATGACTTTTATGCACTTTTATATTTTTAAAATCTACAAAATGTCCTAATGTGGTCTACGATCAACGGACACAATAATGTAGGGTTTATACTTTAGAGGGATAGTGCCAGAAATTATGAGAGACTGGGTATTGGTTTTCAACTAGTTATAACTTTGAGGGGAAAGTTCATGAAAATCTTGATAAGTAAGAATAGTTTGACAATTGATGAGCTTTTGAATGCCAATGAACTTTGAGGAACTCTTCAGAAGTCTTAATTGAATACCACTATACTATACATGAGTCAAAAGATTGGATTAAACACATATGATGTTAATCATTTAAAGACCCTCTAAAAGTTTTAATTGTATACCTTCAAAATATATAGAACCACACTATAAGAGTTTTAATACGCCTCCTTGATACAATGTTTTAATAAAATGTTTATACATAGAACTAATGTGCATATTTGTAATAGGGGGAGGGAACCTAGGGATTCTAAACCCAAGATTTCTATTTTTATGCTTTCAAATACTCTGTATCGAAATGATTGCTACACTTTCTTTTTTGGGATGTATTTTAAATTTTGCTACACTTTCCCTTTTTGGTAAGTTTTGCCTTTAAAAATACTCAATTACCCTAACTTTTTCTACTTTTATCGTCTCTTTCATACTTTTCCACCCTCTCTTCTACTTTTTCTACACTATTCATTACCCCTACTACTTTTCCCTTAAATATTGTGCTAAACCCTATTGTAGCAAACATTTCAATACTGCGTGAGTACTTGTCATTTGTTTTTTTAACTTTTAGCTTCTCAACACAAAAGTACTATACAGAAGGTCTTAGATGTACAGGTACAAATTTATGTACTACGTCAAAAAACAACTGCTTGGAATTACAATCATATTTACCTCTTCAGGCATAAGCGGACATGATCCATTTCTTCTTTGAGCATAAGAATCCACCCTTAGATCTTCATTAAGGATACCTTCTTTAATCAATTGAGCTCGCCTATATTGTATGAGCTCTGCATGAACATCCTTAACAACAGAAAGCATCATCAGCAAACAACTGTATTCAAGGGTGACCATATGGAGAAAAATGTGAACTCAATTCCCTTGGTACAGGAAGATAAACGCTAACACAATTTTCCAGTGGAGGTAGGAATTTCCGAATTTGGGTTTTTCAAAATTCCTTGGTACATGGATCCATTAGAAAGGTTTAGAAAGAAAGGTTAAGTACTTGTGAAATATGAAAGCATGTTTTTCCTGAAAGTAATTTCTTCTATTGCCTACAATATAAAGACTTCTTTGTGCATTTTTATATTTCTTATATGCAGCAAGACATAAGACCCAGATATAAAGATAAATTACCAATAATTGAAAGTAACACAGAGCTCAAAGAGATGGTAGAGCTCTGCAGTAGGATGGATTCACAACTCCTAAATGGCAACAGTTCAGATCATGGATAATAATTTGCAACATGTTAAAGATAAAATTGGTTGATTACATCATGAAAGTACATGTTATTGCACAATAACAAATTTGCAATAATAATTACTATGGCAACTATCTCAATGCATCTTCGTCTCATTTTAGTTTTCATGCAAAGGTAAAAGCCATAAAACCTATTGTGATGACAATTTCATAATTTAATCTCATTATTCCTTCTCTAGAAGGCAGTGACAAAAAAGGCATAAAAGAAATACCTTGACAAGTAACACTATGCTTAAACAATTTTTATACAATCAAATTGCAATGAGAATTTCATGTCTTCGAGCCAGCATAGTTGGGTTAAGGCGGTGATGAACTGATGACAATGTCATAATGGAAGTATTGAGTTGAATAAAGTAAACTGTACTTGCGAAACTAAATAAATGAAAAAGGCATTGAAAATCCAATACTGAAGTCTAGATTTTTTATGCATCTGAAAAAAGTCCAAACGGAACTGCTTTTTACCTAAACAAAAATTAAGTGTGACAATATTCTAAGATTTTACAGTAGCAAGTTATCGGAACATATTGCATTCAGTAACTAAAGCCCTTCTGGTGAAATCATATTTAACAATTAAAAGACAGCTGTTAATGAGGTTTATTGCCAACCTGAAAAAGTTCAGCGCAGCCATTATATGCTAGGTTGTCTTTCTTAAGTCCAGGATTATAAGCAATGTAAGGTTGGCCTGCAGCTCGCAGCCTGTGTTGATAACAGATATTAATAACTAAAATGCCCCATAAATAAATACATAAATACACACATATAAACACCATCTGGGAAAACCATCAAGTAGATATAAACTTAAATATTGAGGAGAGTAAATTATTTGCACCATGATGAATTAATTGAGTATACTCCTTTTTATCCCCATTATTAATGTAATCATGCATGGTTAACCATTTTACATTCCAATTAAATAGCATTTTCTGATAACTGTTTCACTCCAATGTTGAACACAGTTAGGGTTACATAAAGGTAAATAAATAAAAAACATTTAACACTTTGCCACTTTTAGTCCTCCAACTATCGTGTCAATGAGAATTTGGTACTCGTCTTTAAAATTTACCACTTTTAACTAAAAAGTGATGGAAACTATATTCACTTATAGTGTGAAACATCAGGCACCACATTTGATCTTGCAAGCATATAACATTGTCAAACAGATATCACTTCCTCAGCATGTAGAAGCTAGTAAGCTTTGAAGCAGCAGTTATCCAGTCACCATACAATATATGCAAACTAAACAGTTATGTGTTATGTGGATTGAACTACTGCATTAGTGCAGTACAGAGAGTACAAATCCTTGCTTTTCCATACTCGAGGAGGCATGGACATGCATTTCAAATGCTGATAAATTTTTATCAATACAGCTCAGATAATCAACCATAAACCTCTACTAGTTCTGCAATTATACATGTAGCTATGCATCTCTTACTTCTACCAGACAATGCTGAGCTAGAGGCAAAAGTAAATAATGTTTTTTTCCAGTGTAGATCTATGATGCAATTGAACATAATGAAGTTGAGATATTGATATACCTAAGGGATAAAGGCATAAAGCATATGATATCATTTCAGGAATACATTTATATTTACAAATGAATGACAGGCTTTAATTAGAGATGTAATATTTAGTTTTTCATTCCAATCCATTATTTTCTGCCTTTTTTCAGCATACATAAACCCATAATTTAGCAAAAAAACAACATCCGAGCCTTATTCCCAAACAGAGTATGGGGTCGGCTAACATGAATCGACATATGAAAACCTATAATTAAGCAAAGGAAGAAAAAGCCTCTTTTCAGGAAGAAACAGCTAAATGGAGCAGCAAGAGAATTTAAAATTGTTTACAGGTGGAAGTTTGGTTAAAATTCAAGGACCACAAAGAATGTCACGTGGGAAAAATTAGACTGCGCACGTGTTGGACTATTTTGGTGAATAAAATTCAACATTCACTAATAACATTACAATGCTCAGCATACAAATACTAAAGCATTCACTCAAATAAATAACATGGGGAGAAGGTATAACTGTAAGCCATGTAGATCTCTGAGCAACATATGTTAAACCAACAAACTAATCCAAATAGAATACTAACAACCAATTCAGATACAAAAACCTAGTCTTATATATCATATCTCACCTTTCCACCATCAGCGAGCCAAGAGATCGGATTTCAGTGCGGAACTGAAGAGCATGAAATGCCACACGGCATCGAAGCCTCTGGTACTCAGCGAATCTAAGTGGAAGAGTGGACTGCAAATGTAAGAAATAACATACTTTTGGATAGGGTAGAAACAAATATGAATACCAATGGTACATCAGAGTGGATTGAAAAGATAGGTTTCAAACCCACGGAAAATGCCTTGAAAGGTTTAAACCCTAACCCCGTAAGGTTTAGGGGCAAAAGCAATAACAGCGCTAATATGAATTTAGGACCGTAAGAATGGAAAGGAATATACATCAGCACAGTAGTCAGTAGGTGCTTGAATTCTAAACATTTGTTACATGTATAGAGGGTCTAAGTCGGGAAGACAATGGAAAATGGGTGGAACTACCTGCAAGCTTCCTCCATCTGACAAAATTAACCCAACAGCCTTCGCTTTCCTCAACTTCGGAAGAACTTCAGAGATATAAAAGGTAGGAGGAGTAGTCATCCTAGGCTTAAAAGTTGGGAATCCTTTCCTTTTCTTTGCCTTCTTTAAGGTTGGTGGTAGATCCTTCACGATGATCACGTCATTTCTCAAGCTTGCTATGAACCTTTCCTCATCATACAGATATGAAAAGCTACTAAATTTTGAACTGCAAAATTTTCAATTATAACAAAAGACTAAGAGAAGAAATAAAAAACAAGTAAATGTGCTTCTATCTGTATCAGTTATCAAATTATCAATTCGAAACAAACCTGATGCCTTTTGACTGAGTACTATCTTGGATCTCTGGGATTACGAGGGTCGCATTCAAAAGCCTAGCTATGGTGACCAGATCACAGATCTGAGCAAATCAGCAACATGTCACAGCCTAAAAGTTGTAGGGAGTGAAAGAGTTAAAATCCCTTCTAGAAGTAAATATGAGCATACCGAGTTCCTAATCTTCTCGAAAGAACCAAAAATCTTGGCATAAATGAAGCCATTGTTTTTCTCTAATGGAACTGCAAGAATGGAAAACAAATTCTGATGAAGCAAGGGAGGGAGAAGATGAGAACTTTCAAGTATCACAATAGAATTTTCACAAATGTCAAAACTCAAAACTAAAAGTTAGAAAGAAAAAACAGGAAAACAAAATCTCAGCTAGTCAAGATGATAATTTAGCCCAAGTGAATGTCCTTACAAAACCATTGCAGCAATTGATGCCTAGAAGAAGAAAATTTGGTTCTCTTATAATTCAATTTTCTCTCATTGACTTGTATTGGTGGACAATGTGAAAGATTCAGCTACATGAAGTATTAATGATAAAAATTATGAAGAGAGAGGAATGAGACATCTTAGAGAGTGAGAGAGAGTAAAAAATGCAGACGTGCATTGTATGCTAAAATTTGTATCTGAAAGTGATCTTTCATACTAAAAGCTAAGGTATTATACCAGTGTGATATAAATTATAGCTTAGCCTAGTACTTGAGGCAGAAATGAGAAAAACATAAATGTCGGCGGGAAGGGATGATCGATTACAGCTGTGGAAAATAACAATTTAGTGTAATTTGGGAAATCATTCTGTTCATATAAACTTTGCACACATAGATCTTTATAAATGTTCTCCAACTCTGTTTGTCTAAAGTAAACCTGAATGAGTATTCTTTTCTTTTCCTTAGTTAACATTATGCACTGAAGGTTCTACAATAACAGTCCGCGGGCATTCTGAAAAGGTGAACTTCAACAAATAGTTTCAAATAAACATCAGAAAGGGCATGCAACTTGCAAGTGTAAAATAAGCATTAAAAGAGAAAACAAAATTAATCTGAATGGCACATAAGAAGGCGCCGTCCATCACACAATTGGAAGCACAAGGCTATATTTGCTGTGAATATTACCTTGATATGTACTTCTTGGATCTGCAAAATGCTGCAGTGGTTCCAAGGACTTAACATTTCCCCACAACCTCCGGTATGCAGCATCCTTTTTAAATTACAAAATGCCAATTCAAGACCAAATAATATCTAAATGGTACCATTACTACATAAGAAGCATATGAATTTCTGCTTACTTTTTTAATAGGAAGATGAGGGGTTAGATCATCAGTGAAAATAGCAAAGGCAGTGTACTGTACAAGATTAGCGCTAGACTTGGCCAAAAATAAATGAACCAGCAATGAAACAGATGATAGAACCAGCCCACCAAGCGCTGCCCATTTTATCTTTGATTTCATTGCCACTGTAAAGAGGGCTCGAATCTGCAAATGTGCTTCTCCAGTTATTAAAATAAAGAGAACATGAGTACAGAAGAGAGAAAGGCTTGCAACCACAGGATAATGATGTTGGCGAGGACTGGGAAGCTAAGTTGATTCTTGTTGTCTTGGTGTTCAGGCTTGGGCGCTCCGCAACGCCAGTATATGGGCTGCTCACAGATAGGAAAGGGTCGGCAGGCGGCACGAACAGCAGGAAGGATACAGCAACTACCCTTCTACGGTAACCCCAAAAAGAGGCAGCATTATTAAACTTGTTCGATTCGAACAGAAAATGTCAAAAACTTCATCAGAGATTGAGAGATCAAAGTGGCTACAAACCTATTAGATAGAGAAAATGGAACAGGTTTACGGCTGAAGGTGGGATGCGGAGTTGCAGATAGGTTACCGCTCCACTTATGTAAACAGGTTTGCTCTCCTACAACGCCGTAAAAATGGCAGTATCGATCTGCTCGTGAGCATCCTCCAAATTGTTCACCACCGCCTAAAAGCAATTTCAAGTAGTTATTAAGATTATAGTCGTGACCTACTCGTGGCGCGGATTATATAGAACAGGCGATTAATTAGATATACAAATCATGCATTTTTTTTAAACAACGGCGGGAGCTGAAATCGAATATTAGAACCTGAAAGCAAGTGACGCCTTGAAAGCAGCGGAGCTACTGGCTGAAGAACGGAGGGGGAGGGGGAAGGCTGGGAGGTATGAAAGAAGCAGGCAAAAAGAAAAGGAAAGAAAAAGAAAAAGAAATGCCAACTGGATTGCCACATAAGCAAGTGATCGGTTAAATGACGTAAATTACAGGGTTTCAATCGCAAATAGCAGGTTTCATCGCAAATCGCAGGCTTCCATCACAGTTCGCAAGGCTTCCATCGCAGTTCGCATATCATTACTCGTCCTTCGCTCGCCGCCTACATAGATGCCAATTCTCGACAGCCACGACCCTCCAACACGAGCTCAACACCTCAAACTCTAGCTTGAGCTGCAACTTCTGTGCCGGCTCCTCCGAGTGTATAGCCCTAATTGCTTCTTCTCCCTCTTTCTTGCTCTAGACTCTTCTTTTTTCTCTTTTTCTTACCCAAGTTTGGTTAGGGAATTCACTTATTTATGATATGAGCATAACAAATGAAACTATGAGCATAGTAGACATTTCAAATGAGTTTTTTGAATGCTCATTGCGTAATTAATGTATACTCATTTGATATTAGTGCAATACTCATTTTAAAATGTCATATTCATGCATATTTCAAAATGAGTTTTATGTTAAACTCAAATGATTATAACGCTCAAAATGAATGAACACACACAAATGAGTTTTTTAATATTTTGATACTCATTTTCTAAGTTATATATGCTCATTTATTACTGTTTTATGCTCATTTGAAAAGATTGCACATGTTAAATACCAATTCTCACTTTATAAGTTATGTATGCTCAACGGCTATTCATGTTATGCTCATTTGTAAAACGGCATAACAATGCATATTTCAGAAGTTTAGAAAAAAAATAAGGAAAAGAAAGTAAATTAGAAGAGATGAAGCAGAGATCACGATGCTCATTGTTATGCGTGTAATGCTCAACAAAATATGTCACATGCTCACTAGACGTATTTTAATGCTCATTTAGTACAAGACGCGAATTTCATGTAAATTACAAAAATGCCACCGGCTATACGGTTCTCACCGTACAGCCGGCTGTACTATATACGCTTCCGTTAAACAAGAAGCAATCTGCAGGATTATAAAATTAACCATTTTTGTATAGTTCACGTATTAATAATTTAGTGTTTTCGAGGTTTACTAACTTTTTAGATATATTTTGATGACCAATTTGACATATTTCTGAAAATTTTCTATTATGGAAATTGTAAACTAACATTTTAAGGTATTGACAAATTCTAGAATAACAAATAAGATACAATACATTTGCTTGTATGAACCAATTACATATGTCAATTGTGTTATAAAATGGAAGGAAATAAGTAGAAGATTAGGGAGAGATTATATTAAGTATAAAGGCGTTCTTGAGAGTGTATTAGATGCGCATCAATCGCGTAATCATGTTGTCCTAATTAAATGATAATGACTCTTATTTATAGGATAATAGGAGGAAGTGTGAGCTCAATCAGATTAGGAGGTCATTGTAAGTCACACATTTATCACCTTGAAATCATAATTATGATTTCCTAATTATTTATATAATGGTGATAATAATTCATAATCAGGAACAATTGAAAGATAACTAATTCAATTATATTTCAACATCCTCTTGTAAAAAAAATATTCCAACACCCTCGAATGGTCGTCTTCTAACTATACTTGGGTATTAGTTTCATTGTATCATAATGTACTGTCTCGTTAAAAACCATGTCAGAAAAAACTCAGTGAGAAAAAAATCTGATGAAGGGAAAAAGTGTGCAGTGCATTATATTACTCCCTCTCAATTTAACATATATCTTGAAGACAACACATTTCAATTTTGTGGACCAGCTCTTCGAGTTTTTTCGGTGTCAATGACTTTGTTAATAAATCAGCATGGTTTGTCACAGGACTTGATTTGTTTGACATCAAACGTTCCTTCTTTCTTAAGCTCATGTATGGAGAAAAGTTATGGGGTTATATGCCTTGTCATGTCCCCTTTGATGTAACCTCCTTTGATCTGCGTTATACATGTCGTATTATCTTCATAAATCACACTAGGATCACAAGTAAAAGATTTTATACCGCATTCATTTTGTATGTGCTGGGTCATTGATCTCAACCAGACACATTCTCGACTTGCTTCATAAAAAGTAATTAATTCTACATGATTTGATGATGTGGTAATTAATGTTTGCTTCATTAATTTCCACGAGATAGCGGCAACACCATAGGTGAATAAATATCATGTTTGTGATTTTGCCTTTTGTAGGTCACACAAGTATCCTGCATCTGCATAGCCAATTAAAGTGGCATTTGCACTATTCTGGAAATACAATCCAAGACCGATTGTACCATTGAGATAGCGGAATATATGTTTGACATCATTCCAATGTCTTCTTGTCGGGGAAGAACTATACCTGACAATTAAATTTACAGAAAAAACACTATATGGTCGGGTATTATTAGCCAAATACATTAATGCTCCAATAACACTCAAATATGGTATTTCGGGACCAATGATTTCTTCACCATCTTCACAAGGTCGGAAAGGATCATCATGCACATTGAGAGATCGAACCACCATTGGAGAATTGAGCGGGCACGCTTTATCCATGTAAAACTGCTTCAAAAGTTTCTCAGTATAATTTGATTGGTGGATAAAAATATCAGTTCAAAAGTGTTCAATTTGAATACCAAGACAAAACTTTGTTCTCCCAAGGTCTTTCATTTCAAATTCTTTCATGAGATATTTTGTTGTATTTTAAATTTCATTGGGAGTTCCAATTATATTTAAATCATCAACATATACTGCAATTAAGGCGAATCCTGATTCGGATCACTAAATGAAAACACATGGACTAATAAGATCATTTTTATGTCCTTCTTTAATCAAATATTCACTGAGACAGGTATACCACATGCGTCCAGATTGTTTTAATCCATATAACACTTTTGCAATTTTATGGAAAATAAATCTCGAGATATCGGGCTATAAGCATTACATATTTTAAAGCCTCCAGAAATTCTCATATATATGTCTAATGTCTGTATCAAGTGAACCATATAAATATGCAGTCAGTACATCCATTAGGCGCATTTGCAGCCTTTCAAAAACATACATGTCAATTAAAAATCTTAAGGTTTTAGCATCAACTACAGGAGAATATGACTCATCATAATCGATTCCTCTCATTTGAGAAAAATCTTGGGCAACAAATCAGGCTTTGCATCTAACGATTTCATTTTTCTCGTTGCATTTAGGCACGAAACCCATTTAAAGGCCCTTTGCCGTATGGGCTATAGATGTAAAAACATTATGTTTTTCTAGCGATTTTAATTCTACCTGAATTGCTTCATTCCATTTTGGCCAATCATTTCTACGATGACATTCGCCAATAGATTTAGGCTCATTGTCATCATGTTCATTCATTATATTTGCGGCGATTGCATATGAAAATATATCATTAACATCAATATTTTTTCTATTCCATTGTATTCCATTAGAAACATAATTAATTGAAATTTCGAAATTATTGGTGTTTCTATGATTATATGGAATATTTACCTTTTCAAAGGCGATTGAATCCTCTTTTTTGAGGTTTCATTATTATTGATGAAACTTCTAAGTTGATGTTTTTAAAATGTTCATTTTCTTCTTAAGAAGGTTTTTAAAAACTTCTTAAGAAACTTCTTTGCCATCACAAACTACATCTTGCTATTTAAATTTTCTTGATTTCAAATCTCATGAACCAAGTGACGTGGTCTACCACGTTTCTTATGTATCATAGATTCATTATCAAGAGTTCTTTCGCTAATCTCCGCAGCAATTTCTATTCAAGAAGGAGCATTCATAGCTGGAATATGTGACTTTGTCACTTTCTTTGAGTCTATGAAAGCATAAAGCAATAGGTTTGCAACACTTTGTAAATGAATAATCTTTTGAATTTCTTTTTCACAAGCATTTATGTGAGAATCAAGAAAAGATAAATTTGTTGTATTCCAAGTACTATCTTTCATACGTGGGTCCATTTATCTATTATCTCCCCCTAAGGCTGGAAATATTGTCTCATTAAAATGACAATCATCGAACCATGCGGTGAATAAGTCACCGGTGATAGGTTCTAGATAATTAATTATTGAGTGAGATTTAAAACCAACATAAATTCTCAGTCTTCTTTGAGGACTCATTTTAGTACGATAAGGTGGAGCAATAGGTACATACACAACACAACCAAATATCTTTATGTGTGATATATTTGAATCTTTACCAAATACTAATTGCAATGAGAAATATTTATGATATGTAGTTGGCCTAAGCCGAATTAAATTTGCAGCATGCATAGCATATCAATAATGGTCTAGTAATTACTTGTAATCGTTTAATTAAGGACTTAACAAGATCTTTTTGTGTATGCACATGTGGAACTGGATGTTCCACATCAATCCCAATAGGCATGCAATAGTCATTAAAAGATTGGGATGTAGATTCTCCTGCAATATCAAGTCGGTTTTTTTAAGGTTAATTAATCCATAATTATTGCATGTAATACTCCCTTTAAATGTGCATCCCCTTGAAGCAAAGAACAAAAACGAAATTGGACAGCTGATCAAGTCAGTAGTGCTGTACAAAAGGGGTTGCATATTAACAAGGAACCAACAAAGAGATCATTCTGTCAACCTGCCCATGGTTCAAAACGTAAGTGCAAATTTGTATACAATAATCTGAAAATACTACAGTAGTTCTTGAGCGTCAAAAGTTGATTTTGCTTCTTTCTTGTCAGATCCTAAAAATGAGCAGTTTTGGAAAGCATCCAGTCATCCAGACGGCTAGCTATGAGTTCATTACGTAATGCTCATTACATTACATGATTGATTACATCATACCAAATATAGCCTTAGATTAATGGATCAACACGTAATGCTCATTACATTACATGATTGATTACATCATACCAAATATAGCCTTAGATTAATGGATAATACATTTTTAAAAAGTTCTAATTTATGCAAACCCATCTCCCTCTTTTCTGGATATTTAACCTTTGGGACAATGAGCTAGAGTTGAAGGAAGACTAACACCAAGATTATGGCCGATTGACCGGAATGGGTGCTATTGTGTTGGAGCTACATGTTGGGTTTGTCCGTTTGTGGAACTAAAATACTAGCTCAATGAAATCAACTCATTTGGTGAAAAATGTAAAATTGCACTAAAGGACGCGCATTTGTTAAAGGGAAAAGGGGCAAATAAGCCCACGTACTAACCAAAAAAGTCAAATAGGCCCTTATTTAGGAGGCTCTGTCCGGTCGTCGCCATTTGGGGTGGTTTCCGGAGGAATTTTTTGATGAATTTTTTTGAGCATCTTATTCATTAAGTCTAGTTTACTCATACCAAATTTCAGCTAAAACATCAATCGGGAAGGCATTCAAATAAATTCTTGAAGAAAAATGCGCTTTTAACTGCGCAGTTATCTTTAAGAATTCATTTGAATGCCTTCTCGATAGAATTGTTAGCTGAATTTTGGTATGAGTAAACTAGACTTAATGAATAAGATGCTCAAAAAATTTCATCAAAAAATTACACTGGGAACTGCCCCAAATGGCGACGGCCGGACAGAGCCTCATATATAAGAGCTTATTTGATCTTTTTTGGTTAGTAAGTGGGCTTATTTGCCCCTTTTCCCTTTGTTAAATGTAGTATAGATATTTCTAAGGGAGTGTTTGCAATTGCTTCAACTTTAAAAAAGTGATTTTTTAAAGTGATTTTGGGAAAAGTGATTAATAGTAAAAGTTAGTAGTGTTTGAGAAAAAAGTGATTCTGAAAAAGTAAAAGTTGGTAGTGTTTGGTAAAATAAGTACTTTTTGTGTAATAGAAAAAGTGAAAAGCAATTTAAAGCACCCTTCCACCTGCTTCCACCTTTTAGCTTTTAAGTGATTAATTTAAGCAGAATCTGTCATTTGAAAACACTCTTTTTAGCTTTTTTAAAGCCAAAAGCTGAAAAGCGCTTTTTTTAAGCAACCGCAAACACTGCTTAAGTTACTTTGGACAATTTTGGTATGAGCTGACAGGTCAAATATAAAAAAAAGGCTTTTCAATGAAGCTGACATTTCAGCTTTAGCTCACGTAGGACGGTAGAAGGCTCTACATCCAATCACAGTAAAGAGCTAGGATCGAATCATTTTAATGGGTCTCAGTAGGCTCTGATTAATATCATCAAACCATATAAATATATGCTTGATTAAAACTGATCAAACAAAAAGTAAAATTCTTGATTCTTAATGGATCTCATTTGGCTACCAATGAAACTCAACATCATGCATATCACTTCATAACTAGGATGAGATTTATCGTGTGCGATGAATCTATGAAGAGTGTGATCAATCTCAACAAAGCTATAACCTGGAGATTTTCTCACCCCCATCCTTTCCATAGTTTGTCTCATGCTTCTCGCTTCATCCCATTGTAGATTGGCAGCGTAAACATTTGCCAAGCCAACATACCTACCATCATGGTGCGGTTCCATCTTAACCAGCTTCTTTCCCACAATTTCCGCAAGTTCTAACCTCCCATGATTCATACATCCGTTCAGTAGAGCACCCAACATGGAAGCAGTTGGCTCTATCGGCATTTGACTTAGGAAACAGTATGCCTCTAATGTTTGACCAGAACGAGCCAATACATCCACCATACAAGCATAGTGCTCAATCGTGGCGTTTGTTCCTTGTGCACCAAGGCAACCAAAGAAGTACCAAGCTTCGTTTACTAACCCGCCATGAGCACAAGCATGCAATAAGCTCAAATAGGTGATCTCATCGGGCTTAACACAGGTTGAAATCATTTCTTTAAACAGATTGAGCGATTCGTTGACCAAACCGTGAGTTGCAAGTCCACCAAGCATAGTATTCCAAAGTAATACGTCACCGGGTCCTACCCGATAGCTACGGAACACATCAATCGCCATGAAGATCGCTCCACATTTGGCGTACATGTCCACAAGAGAGGTGTGTAGGATTACTGTCAGTGGCAAGCCATTATCAATCAAGTAATGATGCATTGTTCTTCCTTTGTCAAGTGCACCTAAGTGAGCACAAGCACATAATACACTCACCATGGTAACTTCGTTGGGAGTGGAACCAGAGGCACACATTTCATCAAAAACAGTCAGAGCATCACCATAATCACCATTTTTAACGTAACCATCAATCAAACAACTCCATGACAAGACGCATCTTTCAGGCATTAAATCAAACAGCTTGCGGGCTGATTCCATATCTCCACATTTTGCATAGCCATCTACTATAGAATTCCATGATACCAAATTGTAAAGAGGCATTCTATCAAAAACCTTCCGGGCAAACAAAATATGTCCAAAAGATGCATACATATGAATCAAAGAATTCGAAACAAACATATCAGACTCAAACCCACGTTTATGAATATGAGCATGAACAGAACAGCCTAGTTCTAGCTTTAAAATGCGAGAAGATGCCTTGACTAGAAACGGGAATGTTAAATAGTCAGGAAGGGCTCCAGCATTCAACATTTTGATAAAAACTGATACTGATCGGTTTGGATTTTTACTCTTGGAGTACCCTCTAATGACTGTGTTCCAATGAAAGATTTGTGGGTTTACGAGAGAGGATAAAACCCAGAAGGAGTAATTGATGTCACCTGAATCAGAAAGCGCTAAGAAGGAAAGTATTTTGGACATGAAATACTCATCTTGAGATAAGCCTAAAGCGATCATAAGACCGTGAATTTGCTTTAGCTCTGGCATTGACTTGCAGTTGTCGAGCAAGGTGGTTAGTGCAGACTTCAAAATGGAAGTTGGACGCAGCAGAGATGCATTCCACATTTATTTAATTTAGTTTAGTTTAGGACAAAAACAAAATATTCAGCATGATGTAGCTAAATACGGAGTATGAGTATGACTACACACTCTGAGCTTTGTCCCTTTTATAGTGTTTTGTGATTAGAGAAAGACGTCGTTTATATCCTTTTTAGCAGGGCGAGTCCAGAAAAGCGAAAACCGAATCAAATTAAATCGAACTGTGACAAAATAAAATCGAACCGCTAAAAACCAAAATCGAATGTAAAAACCGAACCATAGTTGTTTGGTTCGGTTTTGGTTTTTACCCTTCAAAACCGAACCGAACAAACCGAACTAATTAAAATATGAAATTTTATTTGTTAATTTTTAATCATTAATCCTAATATCATCAATAGTCTTTGATTTTTTTTGTGCTACAGAAATAGTGTTTATGTTATGTTTAGTTTATAAGTGCATTTACTCATTCATTTGCCCATAATAATGTAGCTTTATTGATCGATTATGTATTTTATGTATGTATGTATGTTGCAATATGTTACATGATTATTATTTTTAGAGGTTATTAGTAGTAATTAAATTATATGTTTATGTAACTTATATTTTTTACATTGATAAAACAAATAAATATTCATCTCAGCTATATCACATATGATGTATGTATTCATGAACTTTTTTCAAACTAGTCACAAACAATGTAAATTAAGAATATATACACTTATATCTCTCCTGCATACTCATATAATTCGAGACATGTTTTTTATTCTTATTTTTACTTCATTTATTCTAGTATGCTTGTATTTTTTATGTACTACGTAATATGTTTGATCCCTCCAACTATTATATCAATTTTAAATCAAATGACATTTTTTTGGTAAAAAACCGAAAGAACCGAAACCGAACCGAAACAAACCAAACCAATCAAACCGTGGTTCCGAGTTTTGGAGTGTACAACCGAACCGAACTTTTACTTTGGTTCCGTATTTGGTTTTAAGTAAAAATCGAACCAAAAGAACCAAACCCACCCCTGCTCTTTAGATGCGTTTATAAGGATATCCTTTCGTGAAAATTGTCCAACACAGGACCAACATTTAAACTTCTTCCCAAAATAGCACTACACGTATGTTTTCCCCTAAATATGACTAATTTTTCTACTCATAACTCTATTTAATTAATTAATTGACCTAAATAATTGTCTCCATAATTTTCTTGCACAACCAAGACAGAACTGCAGCAGCGGGCGACGGCGGTTTCCGGTGGTGGCGGTGAACTCCGGCGACGGCGGGCGGAGGCGGCAAATATGCTGGCAGACCGCCAGAAAAAAATCTGGAAATTTTCCGGCGGCGGTCTGGCAGCGGTAGCAGACAACAGTCCAGGGGCAACAGTGGAGGTATTTTGGTCCAATCACATATAAAAAGTCTCATTTAAGAATGTTTAAACTAATTGATCATATTTTGAGGAAAAAGCCATGTTTTGCTCCTATTAAGGTAAATCCCCCTAACTTTTATATCCTTGAGAGGGCGAAAGTTTTTACACAAATTAAAGGAATTTGCTTCTTGTACGGGCCCGATTACAACCCGGCTTACACACACAAATGCAATTTTCTGTGCATATTTGTCCCATTTTTTCATTTTGGATGTCCCACTATTATAGTCTCATATCATATTTGATAACATTGTGTGACTCTAATTCATTCTTGCTTTCTTCCCATTTTATCAACTCATTATCAATCACATAATTCTACTTTTCTTAAAAACCATAACACTCTTTTCTGCCCCAATATTAGGGGGACATAGGTAGTATGAGTCTTGATGGAGTTATGGGACTAGGCCCAGAGCCTAATCGGCCCAAGCCCCGAACTTGGACCCGTGGATCCAGGTCCACAACCTGGAGCCTGCCTACCCCCCCCCCCCCCCCAATGGGGAGCCTGCCAGTCCGGCCGACCTGCCAGCCAGGAAAAGTAATGGTCAAACAATTACTGTGCTGTTTAATTATGTATTTAATTCTGTATTAATGTTGTATTAATGTTGTAATTAACTAGTCATTATTATCGGTAGCGGTTACGAATGTAAATGCCTATAAAAGGCAGGTTGTAATTCAGTTTAGGAGAGACAATTTCTAGAAGCTATTTCTGGAAACTAAACTTCTCTAGCAACTTTCCATTCTCATATTATTTTCTTGATTTTTGCTTGAGTGTCTATCACTCTATCGTAGCTTTCCTAAAAGCCTACGAGCGTCCTATTTTAGACCTACATTGGTGCTTTCATTGAGAGACAATATCACTCTAGCAAGAATTATAAAAAAAATCAGAAAAAATGGAAAGTGTTGTATAACCCAGGAAATGACAAGTGTGAATTGTTCATCCTTGTCATCATCCTTGTAATCAGGACACTAAGCTTCTTACCATCCTTGTAATCGTAGATAGATAGATGGCAAGTTTTAATGATGCCAGCAAGATGTGTAGAATTACTCCTTGATGATTCATCACCAAGCCCAACTAGTATAAATAGGGCTTGATCAATCACTTGTAAATATACTTAGAAATTCAGAAACTCAGAAATTTCAGAGATTAAGAAGTTATTTAGAGGTTATTATTAATATATCTATCTCTTTAATCTATTCTGCATCTTCTTCATTTCACAACACGTTATCAGCACGAATCTGCTCAAGCTCTCCAAGAAATTCTTCCTGCAGGTATGAGTATCATTATTAATTATCTTCTTTGACTCTCTCAAAGTCATTAAAATATAGAGTAATATTAAATACGTAAGTATACTAACTGGTTTAATTTCCCAAACAAAACTTACGTAATATTTTTCATAATAGAAGGAATAAAACTTTACCTCTTGTTAAGCGTTCTTCAACCCTGAATTCTGATAATTAAGTTCTTCGTAGAAGAAAAGTAGAAGCAAACTATGATTCGAAAAAGGAATACTGCTACAGAACATGTGTATGACTTGAAGAGAAAAATAATACTCAATGGCACCAGTAGGTAATACTAAGAAGATAATAACAAAAAAAAAACGAGGAGAACTGATCGAGAACAAAGTATATATGTAAGTCATTCAATTAAGAGGAATGGTGCTAAATAGGACTAAAATTAAGTTAATGTAACAAAATAAGACCAGATTCTTTTTTATCCGTGAATAGGACCATTAATTCCGTATGTTCCGAATTTGCCCCTAACTTTTTATTGCTTGGCTTGTGTCTTTCCTCACCAAGTCGCCATCAAGGAGTAGAACAAAAGGGGAGTTGGGCCTTCTCGTTTGCAAACACCTCCCAATCGCCGGAATCGGCTAAATCTGGCCGGCGAAAGGTGGCGCACCTCCCAGGGCAGAACCACGCCGCGCGCAACGGCGAAGCGGTGAGTCGGTGATGCGGCGATGGCTCTTCGGCGTCAGCGAAATGGACGGCGGCAGAAATACCTTCTCCTCCTCCTATTTCTTCTTTGTCTGCTCTTCTCTTCTTCCGCAGATCTGTTAACTTTTCCTCCTGTCATTTGATTCTCCTCTTTTTTTTTTGCGGATCTGGTAGAGGGCTCTCTCTCTCTTTGGTTTCGGTTATGTGGAGTACCTTGTACTGTAACTTTTAACTATTTTTTGTTTTTTCTTGAATTTTATGTTAATTTTTGAATTATTTTTTTATATTTTTTAATTGTAATTTTTTTTAACATTAGTTTTAGTGATTTACTCTTTTCGGTTTTAAGTCATTTTCAACTTTCCTTTTATCTTTTTCCTTGAGTTTTATATTAATTTTTTAAAATATTATGTCTTTGATAAATTTTAATGATTTACTCTTTTAAGTTTTAATATTGGTGGGTTGATCTTATGGCAACGAAGTCATCCGAAATTTGTCTTTTTACTTTTATTTTAGTTAACTGCCATTATTATTATTGTCACATTTCAATATTTATTCTCATATATGCCTTTACAGTGATATCAATATTTATGAAGTTGTTGATAAATGATTGGTGTAATTGCAATGGTCATGACATTGTCATAATTTAAACAATGACATTGCGATTATTACAAAGTTATTTTATGTCATTGATATTGTCATTATTGTTTTTTGAAATTACACTACTTTTTACATTGTGACATTATATGATAATGTAATATAATGCATTGTATAAAAATTAATGTCATTATATGTATAAATGTAATAAAAATGTCATTAGTTTTAAAAATGTCATTTTCATAATGATTGACATTCTTATGACATTGACATTCTGATGACATTATCATTGACATTTGTATAACATTGTTATGACATTGTAATTGACATTGTCGTCGTGATTAATTGACATTATTACACATTTTTTCGATATTGTGACTTTTCTTTTATAAAATTAACATTATCATAATGGCTATTGACATTGTCATAATTACAATGTCATTTTTTATACATTTTTATGACATTGGCATTGCCATTGTGTCAAGATATGCCGAGTCAACCCGAATTCATTTTGGTTCCACATTTTAAAATTTGAATCACAAATCTAACTCAAAATAGCACTTAGAATGGTTACTCATATATAACTTCAGAACAAAAATGCATTTCTTCCGAGTTTCTGCTTGGGATCTGATAGGATGTGTGCATGAAAGAACCTCATCATAGACATGACCTTCGTTTTGCAAGTGCGGCTTATTACATGACAATGTCAAATTTTTATAAAAGGGTAGTGATTACATTATATCTCAATGACGACAATGTCAATAACATTGTAATATTGTTGACATTGTTATGTCATTATTATTGATACTCCTGACATTGTTATGTCATTATTATTGATACTCCGTATTTAAATTTTGGACAATATTATTTTCAAAATGTCATGATAATGTCATTGTGCATAGACAATTTCAATCACAATGTCAATAACAATGTCAGTAACAACAATATTTTTTTGAGGAATGGTCTTAAATAGGACCATATATAAAATCATTTTTATAGTGACATTCTCATGTCATTATAATGATATTGACATTCTCATTGTTGCAATGTGGTGTACTTGCAACAATGTTTATAACATTGACATTGAACATTGTGACACCTTTTCACCCCTATATCATTTTCTTATACATTTTAATATTATTTAAAATATAATGATATTGCTTCTTTTGGAAATGTTTGATATCTAAATCTTAAAATTGTTTATAATGACAATGTTTTCCATCGTGACATTTTTTGACATTGTGAAATTATTTTGGCATTGTATTTTGTGTTTCTCATAATAATATTAATTTTTAGACAAAAAGATTATATAAATAACAAGATAAACATCTTTTCACTCAAATCCAATATTCCTTCCATCCATACATTTACGGAGTATGTAAATTCCCAAGCTCTCAATTAATTTAGCCTAACATAAAAAATTCTTAAGAAACACTTGAATTGAAGGTCCGTAACATAATCGATGCATAGAACAATCAGTCCACAAATTGATCGGGGATGCCCAATCGGAAAGAAGCTGACGGCACGGTCTAAATCTACCGCCGCTTTCGGCTAATTTTCACTGTGAATGTCATGCATATATGTTCGGAGATAAGGGTTTAGCATTTTAGTTTTTGAGATGCAAATCTTTCCTATTCATCAATTGGTGCACATAATTGGTTACATCAATGGTATTTTTTCCAAAATAGATGCAATTTGCAATATCCAAACAAAAGCAAAAATAATGCTCTTCACATACGAACAAACTGAACGCAGAGAAATAAGAATAGAAAAGTCAAACAAAACAACGCAAGATCACGAATTGCAGCAACATAAGAAATTCAATGCTCCGTATAATTTAGGCAGAGGCGAGACTTGCACCGGGCACAGAAGAAGTAGAAAAAAGGAAGAAGAAACCGAAGAGGAGGAGAAGGAATCTCGTCGGCGACCATTCCGGCGACCACCAGGAGCAGATCGGCAACGAATGAAGCGGCGGTGACCTGAAACCGACGAGAAAGAGATGAATCCCGTCGCCAATGGTCTGAACATCATTGCCGGCGATGAAGGAATGGATAACTGGGTTTGGCAGCAACGTAACATTCCGACAAATGCAGACAGCGGCTATCTCTAAGGGTGTTTTTGTCCGTGCATTAAAATTTAGTCCTATTTGAGGTTTAAAAACTTCCAACTCCTATACGTCTTCTCGGCCCATGTTTTGGTCCTATTTGAGTCTATTTCCCTTCAATTAAAGTAGTCACGAGACTCTCTAAATGAATGGCTAGATTTTCATTCTTGATCGGTGGTTTTTGTCCTATTAATAAGAATTTTGTTAGATGTACCCCAAAATGGGGTACCCCCATTTGTCCCCCACCCTATTGGGTGGCCATAAATGAGGCAACTCATTTAAGTGGGGCACCACATAAATGGGTTGACTCATTTGTGGCCACCCAATAGGGTGGGTGACAAATGGGGTATCCTATTTTGGGGGTACCTATAGCAAAACCCTATTAATAAAGGTGCCTTTATGATGATCTCAACTATTTCAGTCACATACCGAGTACTACCTCCGTAACATTGGGATGTTCCCATTTGAAAAGTAGGTAGATTAAGAATAGTGAAAGGAGATGTGTATTATTAGGGGTATGATGGGAAGATAGTGAAATAATGTGATGGAATAAAGGATAAATCCAAAAAAAGTAGGTGTAATAGTGTATTATTTTTAAAATTATTGAGGGTATGATGTGAAGATTTAGAAATGGGAAGATATTAATGTTACGTCCAAAAAGGGAAAGTGGGAAGATATTTACGTTACGGAGGTAGTATATACTACTAGCTGACAACTTTTTGAGTTTGTTTTTAAACAAATGATTATTAAAAGGAAAATGTAAACGGTACATACTACTAGTATTAAAATAATCCAAGTGTCATTCAATTGCTATTCGGTTACTTTTGTTTTTATCTGCCAAAACAATTCCAAAACAACACGTTAGTCGTTAAATATCAATTGATGTTCTGTGCTAGCTCATCTTTCCACACTCACGAGATAGTTTTGTGTTCAAAATACTTACTGGCTAGCTGAACTTTATTTTTGCGTTAATAATTATAATAATACGAAGTAATAAAATTGTACTTTTATACATGGTATACGTATATGCTATGTAATTATATGTAGTAACCGTGTTTGAATTTATGTTCACCAGAGTACATAACGAAATTGTAGAATTATTGTATATATATTATACTCCGTACAAACATGAATTGAAAGTTTTTAGCCACGCTTATAAATTAAGTTATTAAAAGGGCTAAAACCAATTACATAGTAAATACACATTCAAACGACTATCAAGATTAATTAGTAAATAATCGTTTTTACTAATAAAGTTTATATTAATAATTCCTTGTAGTATAATGGTAAATATTAGCAAGAGAGAATTCGACGTTCTTGATTTGTCTGATCAAAAATATTTGGAATGGAAAGTCGATGCTTTGGCACATCTTAGAGCATCTCCAATGCTCTTCTTTCAACAGAAGTTAAATTTTGCCAAATGTCAAATAGAGAGATAGCATTCAATCCACGTAAAATGCTGATCGAAAGAAAGTAAATAGACATCTCCAATGCGTAATGTTAACCACTTGAAATATTATGCTTCCATTGTTTATTTAATTCCAAAACAAAAATAGTATATAAAAGGTAATGCATTACTGATCGGATAAAGAACAAACCTCCAGCAGACATTATCCTTTAAAGGAGCTCACAATAATGAATTATCCTACCAAATTCAACTATTCATCATCGGTGAAAACATAAATCTTGAAGAATGCATGAGTTTAATTTATTAGGTCTGTAGTAAAGAAAATCAAGATGAGTTTAATTTGACAGAAATCTGCTCTTTGTATTGTTGTTATACTTGTGTTGGATGCTTTGGTTTTGATAAAAGATTCGACACTAGGACTTTTGTTTTGTATATCTATAAAAATAACGAGTGCATACAGCAACGGAATCCATCTTCGTTGCTGCACGTTTAGCTTAAAAACCGGAAACGGTTACCTTATTTTAATGAGTCAGCATGTTAAACACTCTTTCTAAAATCCAACAGTCGGTTTCAAAGTCGTGGTTCCACATCAACTTAACCGAACTAATGAAAGAATGCATTGAAGAGAGAATTTCATTTATACTTTCAAAATTGTCTGACGTGTCCAAATTATACTCTTTTGAAAGAAGTGCATTGGAGATGCTCTTAAGGCTAATGGTTTAGAAGATACAATTGAAGCCAATAATCTATCATCTTCCCAAGACAAAGCAAAAGCTATCATTTTCCTCCGTCACCACCTCCATGAAAGTCTCAAATCTGAATATCTTTTGGTTGATGATCCAAAAGAATTATGGGACAATTTACAAGAGAGGTATGGCCACCAACAAAAGGTACTTTTGCCAAAAGCTCAGTATGACTGAATCAATTTAAGATTCCAGGATTTTAAATCTATCAGTGACTATAATTCTGCTATGTTCCAAATAACATCCAAACTAAAGTTATGTGGACAAAAAGTCACTGATGCTGATATGTTAGAGAAAACCTTTTCTACGATGCATATTTCTAATATGTTGCTACAACAGCAATATAGAGAAAAGGGTTTTAAAAAATACTCTGACTTAATATCAGTATTATTAGTAGCTGAGCAAAATAATGACTTTTTGATGAAAAATCATAATCTGAGACCCACTGGTTCTAGTCCTTCGATTTATGGTCCATCTGGACATAACATTGCCACTGAATCAAACGCAACACACAGTGGCACACGAAGGCATTTTAAACGTGGGAATTTTAGTGGTCATAATAACAAGTCCCACCGAGGATATAAACGGGTCGAAAGACCAAATTACAAGGGCAAGGGCAAACAAAAAGCCCATCAAACAAATCGCCCTACAAAAACCTCGGTGAAGACGACTTGTTACAAATGTGGCATGACGGGACACTGGGCTAACAAATGCCGTACTGCAAAGCATCTTGTGGAGTTATTTCAAGCTTCCATGAATTTGAACAAAGGCAAAAATGTGGAAGCAAATTATGTCAATGACACAACTCCATCTCTGCCAAAATTTGATGTGTCCGACTTCTTCATGGATGATAGCATAATGGATGATGCATTTGCCACTGATCAAAATAACACAAAATAAATTATAAGACTTTTACATATTGTAAAACAGTAGTTTATGTCATCGTGTACTTTTTCTTTAGGTTACCTTTATGTTGTTTTCATAAATAAGTGTGTAATATATGTACTTTTATGTTAAATAATATGCATGTTTTGTGATCAAGCTTATGTTTATATATTGAAGATATGGATCAAGAATTATGTCTGATAGACAGCGCTACAACGCACACCATTTTGAGAAATAAAATATATTTTTCTCAAATAACTTTAGTTGAAGCTAAAGTCAATACAATATCAGGTGTTGCGAAGCTCATTGAAGGCTCTGGGAAAGCATATGTGAGGCTCCCTAATGGGACAAAATTACTTATAAACGACGCTTTATACTCCAGCAAATCGCGGAGAAATTTATTAAGCTTTAAAGATATGCGTCAAAATGGTTATCACATAGAAACCATGAATGAAAACCAAAAGGAATATATTTGTCTTACGACAACTAAATCTGGCACTAAACATATTTGTGAAAAAATGCCAGCTTATTCCTCAGGACTATATTTCACTTATATTAGTCCATTCGAAATAAATTTGGTTTCTAACGCAAAGTTAGATGATCTGAAAACATTCATGTTGGGGCATGACCGTTTAGGTCACCCAGGCCAAGTAATGATGCATAAAATCATTAAGACTTCACTTGGACACCCATTAAAGAATATCGGGGTTCCATTATCAAGTGATTTTCCTTGTAATGTCTGTTCTCTTGGCAAAATGATCATCAAGCCTTCTAAGACCAAAATTGCAACTGAATCACTTGCATTTTTAGAAAGGATTCAAGGAGATATTTGTGGGCCGATTGCCCCTCCATGTGGACCATTTCGATATTTTATGGTGTTGATTGATGCTTCAACACGTTGGTCACATGTTAGTCTTTTATCGACTAGAAATTTAGCATTTGCTAAACTCCTTGCTCAAATTACACGATTAAGAGCTCATTTTCCGGATCATTCTATAAAGAGAATCCGACTTGATAATGCAGGAGAATTTACATCCCAAACATTTAACGACTATTGTATGTCGATTGGGATTGATGTGGAGCACCCTGTTGCTCATGTCCATACACAAAATGGTCTTGCTGAATCTTTGATTAAACGATTACAATTAATCGCTAGACCATTATTAATGAAGTGTAATTTACCTTCATCAGCTTGGGGACATGCTATTTTGCATGCAGCAAATTTAATTCGGCTTAGACCGACTGCATATCATGAATATTCCCCAATGCAATTAGTTACTGGACAAGAGCCAAACTTAGCACACATAAAAATATTTGGTTGTGCTGTTTATGTTCCGATTGCTCCACCTCATCGTACAAAAATGGGTCCTCAAAGAAGGTTGAGAATTTATGTTGGATTTGAATCTCCCTCAATAATCAAATATCTTGAACCGATGACTGGTGACTTATTCACCGCACGGTTCGCTGACTGTCATTTCAATGAGACAGTATTCCCAACCTTAGGGGGAGAAACTAATAAATCGGACCCAAGTACGAAAGAAATAACATGGAATGCAACATGATTATCACACCTTGATTCTAGATCAAATATATGTGAGCAAGAGGTGCAAAAGATAATTCATTTACAAAATGTTGCAAATCAGTTGCCTGATGCATTCACAGATACAAAGAAAGTGACAAAGTCACATATTCCTGCTATGAATGCCCCTGCCAGAATCGAAATTCCTGCAGAGAATTCTGAAAAATCTCTTGCAAATGATTCTTCTGTACGCAAAAAGCGTGGCAGGCCACTTGGATCAAAAGACATAAAACCAAGAAAATCTAAAAGGCAGGAATTGATCTGTGATGCCAAAGATGTTCATCCTTCTGAACAAGAAAATGAACAATTTGAAAATACTGGCATTGAAAATGATATTGACAAAACAAACATCTCAAATAATGATCCAACTTCCTTAAATGAGGAAGATATTCCAGATACTGATAGAAACGTTGATAATTATGAAATTTCAATAAATTGCGTTTCTACTGGAATGCAATGGAATCGAAAAGATATTGATATTAATGAGATATTTGTCTATGCCGTTGCCACGAATGTAATGAATGAAAACAATGACAGTGAGCCAACATCAATTGAAGAATGTCGGAAACGACAAGATTGGCCAAAATGGA